GAACACATTGGTCACCAATAAGGGGAAGTGAGGGGAAAACAGCAATGAAGCTGCGAGCTAAGTCCTACCTCGTTCAATAGACTCTTGTGAAGCCGGGTAGAGACCTGGTTGGCCAGCAGTGTGGCAAGACCTGGGGACTCTTGGGCCCAGAGTCAGTGACATAACCACAGAGGACTGGAGTAGAGTGAGGCGTCCAGCTGATAAGAAGAGAGGGCATATGCATAAGAACACTCACACTTGCAGTTAATACACATTTGACCTGGCTTTAATGACTGGATGATCAGAGCTCAACTAGAATAGAAAGAAGAGGAAAAAAAGAGTAATCTGATACAATGTGATAAACTTGACCTATACTTATGGATGCAGTAGCTCAAAAGAGGGAACAAGTCTTTACAGCAAGGATCATTCCCACCCCCTCCATACACTGAGCAGACAGGGATGGGCAAGTTGGACATTGCCTACCCAAAATGGGGGTGTGGGGGGGTGGGGGGAGGGGGAGGGCTACAAAGGCAAGAAGTAACTGTCTTACAAGGTTTCAAGAGGGAGCCTAGATCCAGAGGGCGTGGAAGAAGGTAGAATCCCCACTGAGTAGTATCCATCTGTTTGGGCAGGGCTGGTGAAAGGAGATGGGGATAGGTCTCTTGTGATACAATAGTGAATAATTGTTATCAGGACTGGCTGCAAGGGTTAGAAATGTAAAGGTGGACATTTTGTAGCAAAAGGAGGGGAGTGATTGACTTTGCAGTCCAGGAGTAGAGGTCCCTGGAACCATCAAGGGAGAAGAGTGCTGAGTGCGAGACCCTACCCAGAGAAGCAGTAATGCCAGAGATGGAGGCAGAGACAATAATGTGGAGAGACGGAGCAGCCAGGGACTCTAGACCCAGAGAGGGAGAGCTGGAGAGGGGCTGTGTGCTGATGCGGGGGTGGGGGGTGGGGGGACTTGTAGGGTTATACGCTTTGGTTGGTTGATGATCCATGGAGGGAATTGTAACCATGGCAATGAAAGAATATTTGATAGGATGAATGTAAAACTAATGTTCTCCAATGTAAACTATCACATAATTCACAATAAAACATTTAAAAAATTAAAATTAAAAAAAAAGCTATGCTCATTCTTCAATCCCTCCAGGGACTGAATGAAAACAATTTTCCTGGGCTCTGTTTGGTGAGGATGTGGCTGCAAAATAAGCAGTCTGCCTTGGGTGAAAAAACTCTTTGTTGACCAGAAAGAAAGGGATTGCAAAGGCTGACCCTTATGGTTGGATGCTTAGCACTTCCTCCCTGTTCCCTAGGTTGGTTCTAGCCCTCTGCCTTCTCTGCCCAGGTGTCAGATGTGTATTGCTGGTTAGCACTTAGCTCACAGGCTCTCATCCACGTCCTCCTGCTTCCCCTAAAGGAGTCACTTATGTAAGCCACCATCTCCCCCACCCACTACCATTAGCAGTGATTCAGACTAGCTCATCACCTACCTGGCGGCAATTAACCAGTCCACCCCTGCCTTTCCTCTTGAACAAGAACCAAAAGCCTGTGGATCTCCCCTCCTGTACTCCAGACAAGACAAATATCCACTGCTCCAATTGCTGCTGCTTCACACCAGCCATCCCCAACCCTGGGATGCCTTTGTCCTGTCTCTGCCCTCAGCTGCATTGAGAGAAGGGGCTTTGAAATCAAACACACTTGGATTTGTGATTCAACTACTAACTTGAAACTACTAGCTTCTAGGTGTGGGGGTTTGGTTTTGGAAGTCCAGTTTCATCATTTGCTCTCTGTCTTAAGTTGGGGAAGTTACTTAACTTTTTAGGACCTTGGTTTCCTCGTGTAGAAAATGGGAATAATTGTGGTATCTACTTCAGGAGATCTGTTTTGAGACTAAACTTAGTTTCATTCATATTATTTCATTTCTATTGATTTAGAAAAGTACCTGGCACATATTAAGTACTCTATGTGTCTGCTGTTATTGTTAATATTCTTACTTATCTGACTTTGATGAAACTATTTCACCTTGCTGAGCCTCAATTTTTCTCATTGGCAAAATGGAAATAACACCTGCCTGCATGGACTTGTCCAGATTACATGAGATAATGTTTATATAGCACCCAGCATGGGGTGGAACACATAGTAAGTGCTCAAATCTCCTTCCCTGCCTGACTCCAGCAGCAGTCCTTTGCACTGCCCAGGGACTCCAGCCCTTCTGCAGGTGGGATTATGCCCTTGAGGATGTGGTTCTCCCCATCCTGCACTTCCCTACAGGCAGAGACAATGGCTTCCACTCCCTTGGCCCCTTCTCTGAATTCCCCAGAGAATCTCAGAAAATATGCAGATTCATCCTGGCCCTATCCTACTCTCACAGACATCTCTTCAATGACAAAGATTTAGTGAGTGTCCACTACACTGCCTGATGGGAAGTCTCTCCCCTCTATCCTGTCCCACCTCCTGCAGATTCAGCCTGGTGGACTGTCCCTCTACCATGGCCTGAGGAGACTGGGCAGGGAGAGGTTAGGGTAGGTGGGCTACAGAAGGTCAGGAAGAAGAGCAGTAAAAGCCTGAGAGCACCAAAAACCAAATCTATTGCCTTCAAGTCAATTCTGAATCTTAGTGATCCTATAGGACACAATCCATAGGGTTTCCTAAATTTTTCTGGAAACAGAATGTCATATCGTTCTCCCACATAGCAGATGGTGGGTTTGAACCGCCAACTTTGACGTAGGCAGCCTAGTGCTAAATGAATGCACTACCATGGCCCCTGAGGGCATCAGAGACATAGAAACAAGGCTTTAGGGAGGAAGCAAAGAGAGTGTAGAGTAAGATATAACCAATACCTGACTGGAGTCCTGGTGTGGCGCTGTAGGATAAGCACTTGACCGTAAGGTCAATTTGAACCACAAGATCGGCGGTTCAAACTCACCAGCCACTCCTAGAAAACCCGATACAGGGTCGCTATGAGTCAGAACTGATTTGATGGCACTTAACAACAACAACAATATCTGACTAGAAATTTCATTTATGCCCTATCTTCTTGTCTTAGTATTAAAAAGATGCAGGGTTTGGGAATCAGGCAAATAGAGAATGAGTCACATTTAGGTCAGTTACTGTCTACATGACCTTGTGACTTTTCTATATTTGCTACAGTTTCTCCAACTGTTAAATGAGTGTAATATTGGTACCTGCCCCATAGGATTGTTGTGAGAATTCAATGAGATGCTTGTAGAATATTTAGTAGTGTTGGGTGCACAGAGCAGCTTTTTAGGAAGTGGCCCCTTTCTTAGAGATTATATGGCAACTAATCAATGCAATGGCCCAGTAGTTCTTTCTCTTCAGGATAAGACATCTCTTAATAGTCCAAGACACACCTTGGACTCACTAGAACATACGTAGGTCTCCACCCATCCAATCTCAATCTTCCATCATTGTACACGTATCCAATATGTATGTTTACACACACACTCATCCACTCACACACATAAACTCTCATAAAGGAGCTTACACTTCTTGAAAGCAAAGACTAGAACTCACTCCATCTCTACACTAATCACAGTTGCCTGTCTCCTATATCTTATTTTATCTTTCTGTCTCCAGTATCTAAGGAACCCTGGTGGTATTGTGGGTTAGGCATTGGACTGCTAACCATAAGGACAGTAGTTCAAATGCCCTAGCCACTCCATGGGAGAAAGCTGAGGCTATCTGCTCTGGTAAAGATCTGTAGCATCAGAAACCCCATATAGGGGTTGGGATCCCGCTATGAGCTGGGATTGACTCAATGGCAGTGGGGTTTGGGGGTTTGAGTTCCCAGTAGAGTACCCAGATAGTTGTTAGCAATAACAATATAGTTGTTGTTGTTAGCTGCCATTGAGTTGACCTCAACTCATGGCAACGCCATATGCCACAGAGTAAAATTGAGCTCCATGGGGTTTTCTTGGCTACAATCTTTAGAGAAGCAGATCAACAGGACTTTTCTTCCAAGAAGAGGTTTCAAGGTGGGTTTGAACCTCCAACCTTTCAGTTGGTAGCCAAGTGCAAGTAGTTTTGCTACTCAGGGATCTTTCAATAAAAATTACATTAATTATAATGTGAATTCTTCAAATGAAGCTACCATCTAAGCACACACAAAAAAAGATAACACAAATTGTTAATGAGTCTATTTTGCCAGATGCCTAGTACTGTGTCTGGTTTGACGTAAGTGTTCTCAAGGTGTGGCATGACTGAGTGAATACAAATAAAAGGTACATATAAACACCCAGACCTGCCCTCCTCTCTTCTCCATGGTCACCACCCCCTTCAGCTTCCAAACCAAAAATTGACAAAGCACAGTGATGAAACTCAAAACTTCAGGACACACCCAAGCACTTAAGGGTCAGGCACCTGGGTAGGTTAGGTGAATAGTGCAGCCCACATTTTAGCCTAGGTCTCTGGGGAGCAGCTTGACAAGGGGCTGCCCTTTCCTCCTCCACCCCCAGCTTCAGGCCTCACAAATTACTTTGCTGTCCTAACCACTACCACCTCATTTTGTTTGCTCCAAAACAAACTCCTTTTCTGAACAAACACTTACCCACTACCACCACCCACCACCACAGGGCCTCCCCTCCCTCTCTATTAGATTCTTCTGTTGAGATTGAGGAGGCCTTGGTCCTTGCTGTCATCTGGCTCCAGGGAAGGGATGGCATTAATCTCAACCCTGCTCTTTTGGAAATTATCAGCACCTTGACCTCATCAGCACCTTGACCTCATCTGCACTCCCTCCCACTTGCCGGAGGAAAAGTGGAGGGAAGAGGAGTGCCCCATTGGACCAACAGCCACACTCTGGAGAAAGCCAGGATGTTCAGATGGCTCTACTGGTCCATCAGACCAGGGGGCTCCCAATGGGAGGTCCTTCTGGGGGCAGGAATATTGGCTCAGACCCCAGGGTCTACCTGCCCCATGAGCACCTCTGTGTCCTAACTTAGAATCTGGGTTACCCTTTGAGGCGCCAAAGTGCTGAGGATATAGCAGAGGAGCCAACTGACCTGTAGGGGTTGAGGGTGCAGACAGTAACAGCTGGGAAGACAAGCTTGTCTGAGTTAAGGTTGATGTTGAGGCTGACAGGGTAACTGAAGTACTCTCCAAACAGCAAGCCAAACTGCCAGTACATCATGCCGAAGGTGCAGAGCCAGAGCACAGCCCAGAAAGCCGTCTTCATGCGGTTGTGCTGGGAACACACCAGCCGGATGGCACCATGGATGGTGGTATTGTTGCAGAAGAACTGGAAGAGCTCTCGGTAGGAACGGTGGAACTCGATCAAGGCCTCCTCCTCCTCCGTGGGCTGATTGGGGGCCTCAGGTTCCGGATCTAGCCCCTGCTCCTCAGGCTTGTCCCCTTTCATGATCCCTTAGGTAAGAGATGGGGAGGATGAGGGTAAGGGTCAGGGCTGAGCTCTGTGTCTCTACTCCTATCACCATCTTAAATTCAAAGTAGGGCCATGCCCACTTCCCACCCTGAGCCTGCTTTCTCCCACCACCTTCCCCTCCCTTCATCTTCCCAGGAACCAGCTAACCTGCCAGAGTCTGGGCCAGAATTACTGGAGCTGGGCTTCCCTGAAGTGGCCTCTCCCCTGCTTCCCTGATAAGGCCACCACAGTTTTGATTTCTGTCCTAGCACCTCCCTCTCTGTCTCCACAATAGTCCGTCTCTGCCCTTCTTAGTCAGTCACTTTCTTTGGTCTTCTTCCCTTCAGGGTCTCTGGGACTTAGCTTCTCTCTCTGCCGGTTGGTTTTCTTGGTCTGTCTTTCTCAGCTGTCTTCTTCCTTGCCTTGTCTCACCTCTCAGTATACGCTCAGATCCTGCCTCTCTTCTTCCCTGTCTTTCCTCATCTCAGTCTGGGCTCTGTCTTCTTGTCTTTGGCCTAAGCCCCAGGATTGTGTCCTGATTTCTTCTCAGCCCAGGGACACAGAACTCCAGGAGGTCTAGATTGCCTCCTGCTCCACACTCCCAGGTCGCGACTGGACTGGGACTGGTTCCTTTCCAGTTGAATCTGGCAGCCTCTCCTCTCCTCCCCCTCACCTGACAGGTGCACTGGCCGGGACTGGGAACCCGCCTGCCGGCCCGCCCGCCCCGCCAGTCATCTAGGGATGGAAATGACAGGAACCTCATTAGCATCTCAATTAAAAGTGAGCCGGGGAGGGGGAGGCTAAGGAGGAGTCTGAGCTGGCAGTTCTCCACAGGGAGGAGGGCCCCAAGGGCAGCAAGTGAGCCAGTGAGCACTAGCCAGGTGAGAGAGGGTCCTGAAAAAGAGTCTGGACTTGAGGGTTGATGGGGAGCTGACAGGTAAGGAGACTGGGAGACAGAATGACAAGTGTGGGTCAGAGATTTTGAACAAAGAGAAGGATCCTGTACGGAAAGCTAGGAGGGCAGACCAAGCTCCAAGATCAGTGAGAGGAGGTTGGGAAACCCGGAAAACTGGGGAAGGCAGAGAAGGGGAGATAGATGGAGGTGGAGGGGTGAGGATGAGACTGGAGACTTGAGAGGAGATGAGAGGATGAGAGGAGAGAGCCACACAGGAGAGTAAGGGGAGGGAGCCCTCGTGGGTGTCCAGAGTCCCTTCCCACAGTAATCTCTCCAAGGGCTAACCACATCTTCAGGTCTAGGGCCGGAAGATGAAGGCCTTGCATGGTTCCTCCCTGCTCAAAAGAGTGGGAACACCTCCAGGCTGTACACAGCACTCAGATTCTGGGGGAGCACCACTCTGCCTCTTCCTCCGGGTCCATCCTCTTCCTTCCTGACTCCTTATAACCACCCCCTTCTAGTTCAAGCCTGGGAGGGGCCCAGGTGAAGCTGGGGGCTGGGCGGGGCCCAGGACATTCTGTTCTTTTTACACCATTGGCTGCCAGGCCAGGAATGTGTAACGTCCCCTGTTGTGGTCACAGGTTGCAGGAATGTGGGCACCCGAGAAGCAGCCCAGGGGCCAGGCAGGGCACTGTGGGCACAGACTGGAGCCCAGGGAGAGGCAGGGCCAGCAGGCACTGATGGGCGGCAGGGATGTGGTCATCACTAGGTGGTGGGACAGAGGTGGTGGGCTTGGCTGAAATCATCATCAACCCTGGAAGGAAGGAGAAGCTAATTGGGCAAAATCTGTGCCCCAAACTTCATCCTTCAAGAGGATACTGAGTGAAGTGCCAAAGGGCTGAGTAAGTAGACAGGGAAGGGAGAGAGAATCAGGCCCCAAAGAGGGCCCAAGGAGATCGGGAGAGTCAGGCACATCTTCCAACCAAACCAAACCAAAAAACCAAAGCACAATTCCAACTCATAGCACACTACAGGACAGAGTATGACTACCCTCTAGGGTTTCCAAGGCTGTCTGCCACAACTTTCTCCCAAGGAGTGGCTGGTAGACCTGAACTGCTGACCTTCTGGTTAGCAGCTGAACACTTTAACCCCTGCAACACACAGCCCAGTCCCTGCATATGATGGTGGGGTCCACCATGTATGGATACCACCTCAGAGCAGCAGGCCTGGATGCCTTTATATGGGCAGACATGCAAACACAGGTCTGCCGCCACTGATACATGCTTATGGAAGGAGATGTTGTTAAGTGCCATCGAGTGGGTTCCAACTCATAGTGATCCTATAGGGTTTCCAAAGCTGTAAACCTTTTTGGGACCAGAAAGAGTCATCTTTCTTTGGTGAGCTTGAGCCGCAGACCTTGTGGTTTGCAGTCTAGTGCTTATCCTACAGAGTTACCACTCATGGTGCTCCTTTGGAAGGAGAGGTTGTTGTTGTTAAGTACCATGGAGTCAGTTTCAACTCTTAGTGACCCTGCACAGGGTTTCCAAGGCTGCAAATCTTTACGGAAGCAGAAAGCCTCGTCTTTCTCCCGCAGACCTTGAGGTTAGCAGCCCGATTCCTAACCACTATGCTACCAGAGCTCCTTTGGAAGGAGATAAGCCTGTAAATTCACAACTGCACTGTAATAAGATAAGGTTCCTGGTGGCAAAGGTAAGAAAATGTTACAGGAGCTTGGGGGAAGAAAAAAAAGGCCCACTGGGAGGAGTCATAGGAAGATTTTCCAGGGAAAGTAGCAACTCCACTGGATCTTGAAGCACAAGAAATTTACCAGGCCAAGAAGGGGGAGGGTATTCAGGGTTAAGATACAACCCACTCTTGTGGCTTCTTAAAGTGACAGCTGATATCAACCACAATTTCACTGGTTCAGTGCTTACCTGGACACCTGCTTATCATCCTGCCTCTGGGTATGACTTCATTTTCTTCATTTTCCAGATGAAGAAACAAGCTGGTTTCACAGAGATCACAAAACAAAATAGCAGTTAAAAACAGGATTCAGAATTTCTCTTCTCCATCTGGAGTTGTCTGCTTCATATGTTTGCCGTTCTTCCCAGACTCTTGGCAAATCAGAGCACATCCACACACAGTCTATGGATTTATCAGCTCTCTGGACCCTAATTATCTCCTTGCCCGCACCTCCCCACTGGGACCCAGGTACCCTAGAAGCTCCCATCTCTCTTGAATCAGGCCTTTAAGCTAAGGGCGCCTTGCCTACAGATGGGGTACACTGCTCTCTGCTTGTTTAATCACAAAGTTCTGAGAAGCACCTCCTGACTTTACTATTTGCTGGCTGGTACTTGAAACCCAACCACTGGCTGCGGGCAACACTGCAAATAGTTTTCACCTCAAGGGCTCTGTGGAAATCATCTGTCCTGTTGTGGGCTCAGCTGCAGTGTGCATAGTGACCTGGCACTGCCTTCAAGAGGGGCTGCTTGGATGCCACAGCATTCTAGGTCAGGAATGGGCCTGAACAAGCCAGTTTTTACGAGAAAAACAGGAGTCAGGAACCTGAACTTTTATCCCAGACCCATTTTAAACATCATCTTGTAGAGTGTGGAAATATTACCCAAATACATTTCTGTTGCAATACCATTTTCCAACAATAGAGAGGTATATAGAAGTCCCCCTCTGTCCCATTCTAGCCCCACACCTTTGCCCAAAAGGAGTCACTGTGATTTGTGTACCCATCTATATATTTTTGTGTGCCATTATATACTTCAATGTGTTTTTCCTTAAATTTTCTTTTGCTGCTGTTGAGAATATACATAGACCAATTAAGTACTTTCTACGTGTACAGTTTTGTGATGTTGATTACATTCTTCAAGTTGTACAACCATTCACCTTTTCTGAGTTGTTCCTCCTCCATTAACATAATCCACTGCCTCCTAAGGTTCACAGCTAATGTTGGAAGTTGCTGTTGTCAATTTGATCACATATACTCATTGCCATCAAGTCTATTCTGACTCACAACGACCCTACAAGACATAGCTGAACTACCCCTTTGAGTTTCTAAGAGTGAAAATCTTTACAGGAACAGAAAGCCACATCTTTCTCCAACAGAGTGGCTGGTGGGTTTGAACTGCTAACCTTGCAGTTAGCAGCCCAATGTGTAACCCATTATGCCACCAGGCACCTAGATTACATCTTGTTCTTCTTCCTAACAACCCCATGCACAACAGAATGAAACACTGAGTTCCTGTGCCATCATCACAATTGTGAGTTCATTACTGTTACCACTATGCCAATCCATCTCCTTGGGGGATGGGGGGGGTCTACCAAGCATGATGTCTTTCTCCAGGGTCTGGTTCCACCTGATAACTCCTGACAATGTGTCTGAAGTCTGAGAGATGAAGTCTCGTTATCCTAGCTTCTAAGGAGCATTCTGGCTGTACTTCTTCCAACACAGATTTGTTTGTTCTTCCGGCATCCATGGTACTTTCAATATTCTGATCACATACAGCTAGTTCTTAAAAGAGCATATGTTCACCCTAGACTATTGGCCTTGGTCTGGAACTGAACTTACCCTCATGGCTCAATGTTCAGCCACACAGTACATAAGTACAATACTAGTGAGGTATGCACACCATAGAATGATCAACTATCAAGATCAAAAGGACAGCATTTACCTGAGAACAAAATTCAGAAGAGTTGGGAAAGAAGGAGGAAGGGAAACAAGAATCACAAGAAGGGGATAAGTGATGTTACACTGAGGGGGTCGCAATCGTTGTTGAATGTAAAACTGCCCTGTAAACCTTCTCTCAATTCACACACACCAAAAAGAGCATAAGCTATTGTTCAGTTTTAAGATGACTACAGGGGACATTTTTGGCTTAAAGTTTAAAGATTGTATCAGGGCAAGAGTTCCTTACATATATTTTTAAAAAAACATTTTATTGTGTTTTCAGTGAAAGTTTACATAGCAGCTCAGGTTTCCATCGAACAATTTCTACAAATTTTTCATTGTCATTGGTTATATTCTTTAGAATGCATGAACATTATTATTTCTGTCTGGTTGCTCTGCTTCTATTAATCTAGTTTCCCTGATG